GGTAAAGGTGATAGGGAGATGTTTCGAGAGATGAAGACGATACAGACGGCGAAAGCGATTGGGAAACCTCGTCGAAGTGAGGACTTTGTTACTCAAACTCGGCTCTCCAGACTCTACAGCGAGAGGTGGAGGTTCGTGTGGAACATCACTGACAGGTATTGAGAGAGTCCCCCAACGAGATGAATGAAACAAATCAAGTCCTATGTAGTGGAAAAGACAAGACATTAGGAAAATTCAGAGCAAACAGAATCGCTCCAATCTTTACCGAATCATTATGGTCGATCGTGAAACCGCCCGTTAGTAATTCCAACATTTAACGATATAAAATAGCTTCATTGAATCATATCGTTATAATGAGCCTGCATTGTATTCCCAAAAGACACTAAGGTAAGATCCATTAGCGAAGTTTAGTTGTATCACACGTTTCTGGGTATACTAGAAGATAGATAATCAACATCTGAGACTGGTCTACCCCACAAAATTTAAGCTCGCATTTGATGCTTTGAATTATTCAGTTTAAGTCCTGCACTAGCCAGTGTATTATTCTCGATGAATCAACGAGATTAGATGCTGAAGTAAGTGCGACAAATAGTGACTAGGATACATTACCGCATGCAATTTGTGTTGAAAATCTAGACTTAGCATGTATGAAGGTTTAGATTTCTAAGGATGATCATCAAGATCAATTGAGTTGTATTGAAGGAAGATATGGTCAGAAAACTGTACTGCTGGTAAATCCCTAAAGCTTATTACGTATATTATTGTACTAACTATTGAGTTCTACATTTACTATACATTCTATTGACCCTAGTTTAGCCCAGCTTACAAATCAAGTCACATGTCTTCTAAGGCTCAGTAACTGATACTTCAACAAGTTGATTCGATTGAATATAATTAAGCTCATTTAGGCGAAATAAGGTTTAGTGGCTAGGAAATTCTATCTTGCCATAATTAAGTGGCTGGTTGTTGCTAGATCACTGGGAGTTCGGGATCACTAAAGCCTCGGGGATCTGTATTTAATGATAGACTCATCTATACGTGTAAAACCAAGTCAATGAAGTATAATATATTATCAATTCATACCGAGAAGAGAGTTCAATATTATATACAATTATCAATAAATTCTTGTCCGAAATTGTACACTTGTTCGTCGAGATATTTCCTCCTAGAAATCCTTGACAGTTTCTAACAATTTATATTACCATTTATTCATAATTCTTACAATTTTCTGAGAAGCCGAGTACTGAGGGTGGTATTGTATATGATAATATACATTAGGAATCTTAAGTTGATTGGGAGCTACAATATAGAAGGGTTCTGTTATGATGTGAACTCTCTCAGCCAAACATATGAGCTGCATTAGATGATATATAGGCCGATACAAGATACGGTTAGTGTCATGATATTACGGACAGTTGTATGTGGATGAAATGGAGAATGTAGAATATTCTATGCCATAGGATGGAATCTTCTACCACCAAGTAGCTCGATGAGGTATGTGTACAAAAAGTAGTGTTCACATGAAGTTGTCAATCGTAGTATGAAGATGAAAATGTCTACAAAACTGCTGTTATTCATTTTTACTACAAATAGTATCTCCAAAGTCTCAGTTACTGAACTTGCAAGGCAAGTACACTCTCTATTATATGATAGCTCAAATACAATAGGTTCGTATATAAAATAATATTAAAATATACGTACTCAGATCACTTGTATAACTTGATAAGAGACACTGCACAGCAAATGTAAGGCGTAGATGAATCAGTATTGAATTGATATCCCACAGTAGTGATATGAGTTGGGTCTTACAGAAATCCCCATCCACCAAACTGTGTTCCAATTATCTACTCTATTCTAAACGTGTCTCATTCCCTCGTATAACTGAGAAGCACTCTGTCAATGACTTGTGTCATCAAAGAATGACTACTCCTTCACTTGACAGATCGTCTCTACGACTCGTCGCTTACATTACTCGGTGAGTACTAACTGACGCGTTTATTGTCCGGACAGTGCACGGCTCGTAACTAAGCGAGTCGTGTAATCCGATACTGGAGGTTCCACGTTATTATTATTATTAATTCATTTTATTGTCCTGTCTGAGTCTATAACTATGTTGGAAATGCAAGTCCTCTCTGCCTACAGGCCAAGGATACCTATACCAGTAGTATATCCCCTCTTATGCCTCCCATACAGCTCCCCTCAAACAGTACCACCCCTCACAAGTCCTCATTTAATCATACACTAAGAGGAGCCCTTAGCCCTTCATTATCTCCCCTCTCCAGCCAACGAAACGATGGCCATTTGCGGGTGTATGGCAGCCGGAAAAAATCACAAAAACCACTGGGTGCGGGGCTCTCCTAATACCGACATTAGGACTAGATCCGAAGACATAGTGACCCTTCCGAAGCGTTCGAAGAGGCCGGCCAGCTGGGCGCTGCAGACTTGTGGGTACCTCGGGAAATTCACCCTCTGCCTTTCTAGCCTCCTTCCAACTCCTTCCCGAAGGTCGTGCTGAAAGGTCAAAAAGTCTGGACAGAGCGTGATTGCTGTATAGTAGCTTAGCCCAACTTCTTTTGTGCCGTCCAGAGCGCTGGGGAGTGCCGTTGACTCATCGACAAAAGAAGCCCGAGGTTCCACGTTCTATCTACTAGGACATGATCTGTTTCTCTAACAAATAATTCACTAAATTTTGGATTTCATTTCACTCGCTCAAGTACTCTATGGGCCCATGCAGGTATATCTAGATGTAATATTTACAAAGGAGGAAACTAATTCGGTATGTATGTATGTGTTTATTGTGCTAATAAGTCTATAACTATGTAAGGATAATTAGGTCCTTTCTGCCTAAAGGCCAGGAGTATCTATGCCTCGGGTAATGTACCTTCTCCTATGACTCCATCACGACTTCTTTCCGGCAGTAATACCCCCACAGGTCTTCATTCTAGTACACACTAAGAGAAGCCGTTATCTCGTCATTATCTCCCTTTTCTGGCCAATGAAACGATGGCTATTTACGGTTGTATAGCTGTAGGGAAAAGTCTCAAAAACCACTGGGTGCGGGGTTCTCCTATGACCAAGAGGCCGGCCAGCCGGGCGCAGCAGACATACATATATCTGATGGCGTCCCTCCTTACTCCTCCCCTGATTCGTACCGTAGTAGAAACCGAAGGTCGTGAAAGGATGTCAGAAAAGTCTTGGTCGAGAGTGACTGTCGTGAAGGAGCCTAGCCTAGGATACATAAATCGTTACGGATGTGGGTTTTCAGCTAACATATGTATTTCAGATGTCCTTATGGCTAGTGGATTCGGAAGCCAAGTTTAGAAAGGACCATATTTTTGATAAGTCGAAATCTGCTTTTCTTGAGGGCGGAAGGGTCTTTTACTTTGCTTTCATGGGCTTTTTGTTCGTCCGCCGGTGGGTAGCACATATTGTGGTATGATTGGGGCCTCTCTGACTACCACTGTAGCGTTTGGTATCACAATATCTTTCCTCATTTCCGATATCTTTATCGTCGTTTTGGTCGTCTTGTGTAATATCGGAAGCGTATTTTTGACGGATGGGGACATAACTCAGCTCAAAGTTGATAAGGTATTACTCATTCTCGGCTCGGCAGACTATATAGTGAGAGCTAGAGATTTGTAAGGTATATCACTAACAGGAATGAGTTTCGTCCCCCTGACTTATTCGGTAAAAATTCCCCAATACTGTCTATCTCATGTCTATAGATTTTACTGGTATTTCTTACAGGAAGTGCGTTTATACTGTTCATTCAGTGTGAATTCCGCCCCATCCTTATCCAAATCATCTCACCTTTCCGTTCAATGCAATTTCAACTTCTCCTGCAAGCCGGAATTGTTCAAACCGGCCTTTTGCTAGAATCCACTTTGTAATTCTCTCCATGTCAACTGGACTGTTCATCATTGCCGTAAAAGACCTATCTTTTGCCTTTAAAATCACCTCTCCTCTTCTCATTGCCCACCGAGGGCACGCCAAGACCATATGTTTGAAATCTTGAGACGAATATCCATAATGGCATTTTAGATGAACTACTCCGGGGACTTTCCTCCGATATAGATTAGAATAGAGACAGATGCGGTTACTTATCTGAACTGCAATACTGCTTTGGGCCCTGCTCAGGTTTCGGTGGATATTTGAGGGTGTCACTATTGATAATCCTTTTTCTGTCTGTTTTCTCATCTGTGGCGATGTTTGCAGCTTTCCAAAACCTTAATAGATTATTTATATCACTAGAGGTACATTATCCGTGGTAAGATCTACAAACTATTCTACTTCCGATCGTCCCAAAACAACGAAAAACTTAGAAAATAGGCTTGTAAAAGAGATAGAAAAGCATTAGATTGAAATCATTAGAGTATCTACTGCTGGCTAGTTTAATTCCACACGATAAAATAAATCTAGTAACGTTATGGAATAATGCTAGTTAAGGAGGATGATAGGATCTGGATAGACTAAATATGTCGATAGTTGGAAGTATTGTTGGAATTGATCATCTACTCTCTCATCAAGTTACTTGATCTTGGGTGAGGAGGTTCAACCGTTCATTAGGATTACAAAGCTCTTGAGTAAGTATAGGGAATAAAATAACTGTGTCACCCCAGCTTGAGAATTTTATTTACTGGTCCTCGCTACACTGGATATTCTTCATAATCTATGCTTGAGTTTATTCGTAATTTCCCAGAGAATCTTGCTGTTAACTAAGGTCCTCGCACCGAACGCTAGTCATGGTTAAATTCTTAAAATTTTTAACTCGTACACAAACTCTCCCTACAAAAGTAGGACTCACGATAGAGACGAGTACATCCAAGGCACAACTGGACAAGGAGATTTTATTGTTGCCGGATATCAACCTGTGATAACTAGAGAATAATAGATCCTACCGGCATAATGAAAACAAAGGTTTTAGTTTTGGATATTTAAGTAAGCGTAGCCTTTATTTTAAAGTGTGGACTCCATAGCTCCTGCACCCTTTGAAGCAGGGCTTAATTTGTGGGTAGTCTTTCAACGATTTTAGCCACTTCATCGTCATTGTAGGTTCTAAACCCTTTTTGTTTCGTAACGCTTGCCAATTGGACATTTTTAGAATCTAACTTCTCTTCCATTACTTGTTTCAAAGTCTTCAATACAAGAATCTCAGCTTCTTCGAGAGTGAGGGACTGCCGTCTAGTATCAGTAATGAGGCATCAGATCATTTATGATAAATTACCTTATGAAATTCGTTTTGTAGCTCAGCTTGTGCGCCTTCTGAGCCGGAACCGATTGCCTTGGCGTCATACCTATAGAACGTTCCACTTGGCTCTGCGTGATATAGCTGAGGCCCATCTTCGTCGTAGCCAGCAATAAGTAATGCTACACCAAATGGTCTACTCATAATACTTTCTTCGCCATCAGCTCCCTCTCCGAATCTTAGTGCAAGATCGCATATAGCCTGAGTGCAACTTTCAGTTCTTAACGGTTCGTTGTAGTGGAAAGAATGATTTTGTGCTTCAACTCGTGCATGTTCAACCATTGATCGAGCATCTGCTTGAAGTCCTGACATGGCGCATCCAATATGTCGGTCAATTTCAACGATCTTCTCAATAGATGAAGTCTCGAGGAGGGTAGATGTGATACGTTTCTCCACACCGAGGACCACACCTTCCCCTGTAGCAACTCCAATCGCTGTAGATCCGAGCTTAATTGCTTCTAATGAATATTCAACCTGGAATAAACGACCTTCCGGAGAGAAGGTACTGTATTTAATTAGACGAGCTTAGGCCCCAAAGGTATTTTGGGGGGCACATAAGGACGTACTTAATACCACGATCTAATCACAAGTTAGCAGTACTCCTGTGATGCCGGAAGTGACGTAAAGTAATCACATACCATATTCCGACCTTGCGATAAACATAGTGGCCGAGAAGGAATGTTCTTATCTGTGTGCGTAGTTGAGCGACTTGGGGATAGTTGTTGTAGCTTCTGGGGTGAATTTAGGTCCTGTCTGTGGAACTATCAAGCTAAGACCAAAGTATGTTGCTGAATCTACATATGCAAAGGAACGGATGATAAGGCTACCGAGAATTGTACTCCCATCCGGATGGTAATTCTAGCGCGTTCAGTAGGGTCTTTATTGACGCGCTCCGAGCTAGATTGGCCTGTAGTCAAAACTATCTATCATCGGGATTTTTCTATGATTAGATTCAGGTACAAAATTTAAAGCCAGTAAAAGCAAAGGTGCCGCCATGTCTTCTTCATACTCAAGGAAGCAATCAAGAACCGATCGAGCGGAAAAGTCTAGCAACGGGCTTGGCGCTCATCCATCTCGTCTTAGTTCAGAGCAGCATGCTGAGGGCAAACCTGAGAGACCTGATCAAAGAGGAGGCCAGTCACCTAAGACTTCGAGCTCTAGGAATGCACCCGCTAGAGTACCTTCTGTAACGCGGCACCAGAGCAACAAGACTATTGAGGAGAAGCGTACGGAGAGAGTACGAATAACTACCACCGAAATACTCACATCAAGAACAAAAAGCCCAGAAAGGAAATCAGCCGGCACCACGCAACCAGAACGATTTAGAACAGGTGAAAGTAGTCGAGGAAATCCGGTAGAGCCACGATTCCGTGAAAACAAGCCGGAGACACCCAGTGTGCATTCTTGGGCACCAGAAGTTTCTATAGTGCCTCATACTTCGGCTCCATTGGCATCAAGAGTATCGATACCTCCCTTAGCTACTGTCGCGCCCCAAAGTCTACAACCGCGGCCCTTGTACGAACTATCCCTGGAATCCCAAGAGGTCTCGCTTATAGAAGACATTCTCCTTGTTTTCATGGGTTACGAAGGCCAATATATTCGATACGTTAAAAGTTACAATCCAAGCAGCGAAAAAGATCGCCTGATTGGACCTGAATTCAGAATACTACCTGGATTAGATCCAAGTCTTAATGACCTAACAATGATGATGTTAAAGATGGCGACCCATTACTGTGCCGTTGATGCATTCGTTGAAGTTCAAAGTCGCGAGGAGTTTGGAACAGTGAATCATGCCCTATGTGCTGCTATAAGAAAGCTTCTGCATGAATATTTAATTTTGATAACTCAATTAGAAACACAACTCCTCACAAGTTCCTCTTTCACTCTTCAGGTCTTAAATCTTCATACATTACCAACTAGTCACATGATGTTCCAACTTTATTCTCTAGCTCACGAAATATTAAAGCGAAATTCTATATTAGAAGGTGATGAAGATTCTGACGATGGTGTCGACGACATTGAGAATATTCTCGAGAGCTTGCGTGAAGGCGGAGACCTGGCTCCCGGAAATATACCCGGAAAAAAAATTTGCAAAGGTGGTAGCGTTCTGGGACTTATCACCAAACGATTAGAAACTATGTCTGGAGACCCAGCGGCTCGCTCTCTTCTGACTTCTCTATTGCGAGACGCGAGTCGTCCATACATGACAATGCTAAATGAGTGGCTACATCGTGGAAGTATCAGAGACCCCCATTCAGAATTTTTAGTTAGGGAGCAAAAGAGTATAAAGCGTGAGAGACTTGAACAAGATTATACTGACGAGTACTGGGAAAGAAGATACACTATCAGAGATAACTATATTCCACCTCAATTAGAAGGTATGAAATATAAAGTATTGCTTGCTGGGAAATATCTCAATGTAGTACGAGAGTGTGGAGGGGTCGATGTGAGTAAGGCTGTATCGGACTTTCCTAGTTCTTTTGATGATAACAGATTTTTGGACAACGTCAATAATGCATACGCCCATGCAAATGAGTCTTTGCTAAAGTTATTACTCACTACACACGCACTACCTGCTCGATTACGTTCCCTTAAACACTACTTTTTTTTGGACAGATCTGACTTCTTCTCTTACTTTCTCGAGCTTGGAACTTCTGAACTTCGAAAACCGGTTAAAAATGTCAATACGAATAAATTACAGTCACTACTTGATTTAGTTATTAGGCAACCTGGGAGTGTTGCGGCTCAAGATCCATTTAAAGAAGACATTAAGGTCGAAATGAATGAAATTAGTTTAACCAACTCTCTTACCCGAGTAGTCAACATCTCTGGGATAGAGCAAGGCGAAACAATTCAAGCACCAGCTTCTCAGCAAAATAACGAGAGTGATAAAAATGCAGTCGGATTTACTTCACTTCAGCTCGACTACTCAGTGCCTTTTCCAGTTTCTTTAGTGATAAGTAGAAAGACAGTATGGAGGTATCAAGCTCTATTTCGGTACTTACTTTCACTACGATACCTAGAGCAACAGCTAGTTTCTTGTTGGCAGACCCATAATCGATCAACAATATGGTCGCATAGAAGCTCCTGTGGCCCGGTTGAAGTATGGAAAAGGCGTATTTTCACCTTACGAGCTCGAATGCTCGTTTTCGTTCAACAATTGCTATACTTCTGTACTTCTGAAGTGATTGAACCCAACTGGAATATTTTGATGGCACGATTAAATGCAAAAGAGGATTGTAAGGGTGGAATATCGTCTGTCCGTACTGTAGATGAACTTATGCAGGATCATGTTGATTTCCTTGATACATGCTTAAAGGAGTGTATGCTGACAAATAGTAGATTATTGAGGGTATGAAAAAGCGGTGATTAACTTCAACAGCTGCTAACAACTTGCTAGATTCATTCTAAGCTAATGCAGACATGTACCTTCTTTGCTACTTATACTGGCTGGTTATCGCGAGAGCTTGAGAGAATTGATCCAGACTTGTCGGGTGCCGGAAAACCTTCGCGTATGAACCAGCAGCAATGGTCCCGACTCCTAGCCGATAGAAAGCACGGAAACGATTCAACAACCTCGGGCTCCACATCTGCGAATACAGGCGAGGCACGACTTGACAAGATGTATGAGATAATCAAAAAGTATGAAGTTAATTTCAGCCGACATTTGCAAATCTTACTTGATGCTCTGAACCACTATGCAGCAACAGAAACAGTAGTCCTCCTAGGTTTATGTGCAAGATTAAGTACTGCAAATCAAGGGACGCAGTATTGTGGCCCACGCGTTGATGACGATTGCGCACAACAAATATGAGCATTTGTGCTATCTATTAGCTTTAATAAAGCAGAGAAGATCATGGCATCTCTTTCAGCACTCGAAAAGTAAACAACAGAAACTTTATCGAATTATATTTTTCCATATGACTTGCTTGAAAAATCAAGCTTAGAGTCTTCCTGTCTCTAGCTGTATCGGCCGTCGCCATCTTTTTGCATTGATATCTATCATCAAAGATCCACCTTAATAGGGTTTTCTTGCCAGCAGCAAAACAGGGTAGTGCCTAGAATCCCTCCTGTCATATCTCTTGGTCGCCATTTTATTTTCTCACCCCTATTCTGTTTTCAATCGGTAGAATATCTAATTCTCGTTCAAATTCATCAAAACTTATCGACCAATTTTCTATCAGAATAGGCTGTAGGAATTCCCACCCAGAAAAACATTAGCGAGAAGTTGGGAATACCTAGTCGCCTAGATACTTACCATACTGTATAGCTTCTTGTTACAGAGATAGTGTCAGATATAGACGGCATCGCATCGCTTTAGGTCCTTTTATGTAGGCCTATACTAACACCTGAAGTCGTGATGGGTGAGGGCTATGTCATTTTCCCGATATAGTAAGGATAGTGGATATATTGCAGATGCAGTATATAGTCTAATTCAATTGTCAATAACTACAAAGGCAGGATTCAAATGCACACGACAGAGCATAAGTTGGGAGCTTATTCTAAATTACGACCAGTCTTCAGTAGATACTGCTTATGTGACTTAATCGAAACAACCACAATGCCGCACTATCTGACGCTCTAGCTGATAAGTAATAACTAGGGCTTTTTATCGGAAAATCAAAAATAATTTATATCCAACTTCCGGATAGGGGCTTGGCCATGATTGATAGTACGACAATTTATTGTGTACTCTGTGAAATTTTAAAGGCTAGATAGAGATAATTTCTATCACCTATGAATCTTCAAATATATTTTTGACACTGCCTAATTTGGGTGTTTCTATTTCTCCAATTAGGAAGTTGATACGGGACATGAGGATAGGATTCCAAAATGGTAAATTCCCTTCGCCAAGATCGTGCCACGAGATACATTCGACGTTGGCAAACTTCGAGGTAATCCTTGGCACACGGATTTCGTACTCAACCAAGCACACAGGACATCGCTCGATATTAGACTTCAAGATGGCATTGGAGGTTTCACGCGCTTGTCGTACTAATGTTTGCGCCTGGATGTTGAGTTCTGATTCCGAGCAGCGTACAAGATGACCAGTTGCAGCCCAATTTGGAAGCTTAGGGTAATTAAAGCTTGATCCGTTATTCCAGTGAAGTACAACTTTCTCAAATGGAACTGTGTATTTATGCAAAACTTTTATGTATAGCTTTCGACCGATAATTCGGGGAAAACACATCGTCTCGGAGCTATGGCGTAGAGATAGAGTTGCCTCAGAAAGTGCCTCAAGATTCTTACCAGGGTCAAGTCCATGGTGAAAAAGCTTCATAGCCATCCGAACCTGTGACGTGTTGAAAATTATGTTGCAGGACCTAGTGCCGTGACTTGCGTGTGTACATGGATATTTCGGTGAAGTTTTGTCGACATGGAATGGAGTAGATAAGGGCTTGTGGAGTTTCTGGCAAAAATAACAAAGAATGAGATCTGTGGTATCTCTATCTAGCAGAGAGAGTAACATGAGGCGCTGTGACAACCTGGCATAAAGGAAAGTAGGATTTGACGGTACAGCAGCCTGGCGTTTCAATCCCTCCAACGTTGGCGTCTCCTCATTGATCTCGATGATGTACTGCGGACCTAAAGTTTTATACAGGTATTTTGAGCAGAGGGATAAAGCCACCGCTGATGAAGTTGGTAGCCTAGAAGCAATTTCTGAGATCAACTCTGGAGGAAGATTGCCGAGGGTACCACTATCGGGAAAAGCATAGCCCCTGCGAGTATCAAATGGCGAAATGTTAGAGTAGTTGGACATCGACCTATTTCTGTAGATATTTTGGCACTGTTGAAACTTAGAAGGAAGCCAATCTGATTCAAACCGAGATAGATTCATCTTGCCAAAATGGGTTTTAAGAAATTTTCCCAGTCTCTGGAAAGCCATTATCGGGTGTTTCAAGTATATACGTCGAACTCGGATTGAGATTATTGCATCGGCCAAGTTTGATTGTTACTTTTTAAAAAAGTAGATTCCACAACAAACTAGACAGAAATGAAAAGCTAAGCACTTCCATGTATACAAGTGTTTCTGTGGGGTTACCAAGGGGAGCGATTGATTAGACCCAAATGCCTTATCTAATTCTATAACTCAATGATGCAGGGTAGGCCCAGAGCTCCATGAATGGGGGCCTTAGTTTCAATAAAAGTGGACATGATAACTTGAGGAATAGAACAAGGACTGATAACGCTTATAAACTCCAAATGTATTTATCTCATATATATGCTACTTTTGTAAACAGGCGTCTCGTCTTCCAGCCAATATCTAGGCAACATTCTAGTCTTCAGGTCTCCCTACCGTCATTTCGTGTCTTAGGTAGAGACTCGAATCGTGAACAGGAATTCCGAACGTCAAATAACTGGCTATGGCCCTTGGAGCAGCTAGATCTGGAAAGCTTGGCATCTTTGCGGCTAGAATATCGCCACAGTGGGTACGCCCCACGAGCCTGAAGAGTTTCTCAGCACGTGTATACCTTGGGTATGGAGATCTCTCGGCATGCTGATCCGATCCGTCGCTCTCTTGACCATAGTAATATCTAGATAACTTCAGTCTAGAAATTACCTTACAAGTGACAACGTCTTAAATGATGTCTAGCCGTTTTTTCTAAACACTCAAGCACCACTAATGCTACTTTCTTGACACCACTGAGAGCTAGGAAAGAAACTAGTTACATTTCGTGGTCATAATCAAATCATACGCGAATGATATGGAGTTTTTGGAACAGAGTCTGGCAGAACTAACCGACAAACACGATGACTAATCATATATAATGAGTTGAAATTGATTTCATTTGACCTGATTTGGTGCCGTATGGGCCCATGCGGGTGGCTATAAACCTAATTATATATTTATATGAGGAGGAAACCATTACTAAAAAAACTCCCTCTCCCAATTGAATTTTAATATTTGTAGTCCTTTGTTACCTACAGGTAGTGGGGGACTTTTCTCAACACCTGTCAGTGGTGTCCTCTACGAACCTTCAGCTCTCACTGTAGAGTCTGCAGAGCCGAGATTGAGTAACAAAGTCCTCACGTCGATGATGATTCACAATCGCTTTCGCCGTCTGTATCGTCTTCATCTCTCAATACATCCCCCTATCACCTTCACCATGAAGCTAACCGCGATCAGATCAGATGATATGGTCGGAGCCCAATTCATCGCCAACCCTTCATCATAGAGGAAAAGCCATCCGATGAGTTTCCGGAGCGTACTCAGCATCCGATACGTAGATGGCGGATTGGATCAAGTCGGCCTTGACTGTTACAAAGAAGGGAGATATAGATGAATATGCGCACCTCATGTGGTCCCGCTGTCTAGGCCTCGCTTGGCTGGGACTGCAGGTTTTTTGAGACTTTTTCCCGCGCACGCAGTTTCGATTGCTACCATGTTATTTTAATTTTTTATATTATTTTTCGGTAGAAGGTTGCGTGGAAAAGGTGGCCGAATTCCACGGGTAAATACTGAGCTGAATAGCTATTCATCAAGGGGAATATATCAGTGGTCTTTCAAGTAACAAAAGAGGATAGGAGCACTGTACAAGGTGTGGCCTGGGTCAGAAGAGCCCAATGTGCTAGATAGTCATAGACTCAAGTAGTACAATAAAAACACACACACACCTGGGGGTGAAATATTCTCCCAGAGCCAAGTTCAGTCAAGTTTCGAAATACCCAAAAAGTTGGCTCACGAGGCAATGATTTAAATTTCTCTTCCACGTCGTTTTTTCGTTCCCGAGTCCGACTCATACCTAAGTCTCATCAAGCCTACAAGTACGACCTAGTACATCCTCATCCCAATGACTACACCTTTCTTCGACCTTCTCTGGCCTCAGTTGACCACCAAATACACGCCTACGCCGATATTTACACCCGACGGAGGAAGCAAGGCGTGTCGCACAAATCTGGGAGACAGTTCTTTGGGATGGACGTAGGAGGGATCAGGACAAGTTCACAAGGTGATATAAAGAAAGGATATGACTTCGATGTGCGTGATTTTGGAATTTTGACAAGGAGTTTTACGAGTTGAGCTTTGTGCGCGCTAAGACTCCGGTTGCGAGAGTGAAGCTGACACTACAAAAATAAGCCAACGATGAGAGGTGTCGTGGTCCGCCTCCTGGTGGTGTTCTCTGGTATAGTTTGAGTAGCCTAGGCACCTACTCCACTTGGGAAGGAGACGCCTCAATCCACATTTCGCGCGGTGAAAAGTAAATAGATGGCGGAGGCATTTCTGGATAAATCAGGGCTTGTGTGACGCTCCCCTGGGTGGGTAATTGTCGTTATAATTGATCTATTTATTGTTCTGGATATTCATGTAATTGATAGTGTTCGGAGTACCGGTGTATCTGCTTTGGAAAACAGCATGGATTTGATTACTAAGACTCAAATATATATTACTAGCTTTCGTTGGACAGTAGAGAATCAAGTTTATGTATGTACATATTTTTACCATCACCTAAGTGAAGTCAGAGTATTCACCGATGAGAGTTGACTTGAGGTGAAGAAAAAGCTGCCATATCTTCGCAGTGATACTTGCAAATGAAATTCGAGGCGTGAGTGCTCTTCTTTTAAATTCAGTCATATATTATACACTTCTCTGATAATGTGTCATAACTAGATAGCTGCATATGCAGTTAAAATCTGATGCCAAAAAAAAGATCAGTGTTGTAATTTTTACGTTAAGTCGATCCAAATTAGCATCTTGTAGTTTATGTAGGAGTTTAGGAGAGGATGAAGAAACGAACAACTTACATCAGACTAAACGAACTCTTCATACATTCTGTACCACTAATTACAGGCGTGCTTTGAGTCTCTAGTTTATCTTAAGCTACATCTACACCAGACAAAGACAGTGCTTCGGTAGGTGGTGAGATAATCTTAGAGTGAGTCACTAGTGAAGTTTAAATGGGAAAAATCTCTTGAGAAAGATATGTATGCCAAAGAGTGTCAGATGTATTCATTCGAATATCAGACATGTTCATGCCTGTCTGGGGTTCGTATTTAGGCTGTAGGCGTTTGGCTATGTCGGGTTGTGAAGTTACAAAATCTCTGCAGGTCAGATTATCAACTAAAGACCTACCAACACCACTCCTACTTGTCGCCATCTCGTCGAAACTCTAACAGCATACCATTTTCAGTGACTAAATTTCGGCACAGGAAGAACATTTGATCCCCAAGTTCGTAGGGTACAGCGCGGACAGGTGTTGAGTTTCGTCCACCTTCGTAGTACGTTAGGAAGGTTCGAAAAGGGCAATCTATTCCGTTCTACCCAGAAAGGCGTGTAGATTACTCTTGGGTAAACAAGCTATACAGATTCATCTTGAAAACTCCGCTTTAGAAACATCTTAAGTCAGTCTTGTGAGTTGGCCTCAATCACCTAGAGCCTTACCAAATCCAAGACCTGAGAAATCTATTCGCAGGGGCTATAAAAAATAAATACATCTGAAATAGAACGGAGTCGTCGTAACACTATTATGGGATCTTTTGTTTTATTATTTAACGTCCAGCGTGACGCCAAGCCGAGACTTGAAACCTTACTGCAAACTTAATACTAGACATAGATGCTGGTGCTTACTGTCCTGAAAGCCTCGCTGCTCCTTGAAAAGAGACGGTGAGCCCATGATACACACTTAAAGCATCACTTGATGTCGCATCCGCGCTATATAATTAAATAAATTATTCATTATCCTGATTTGGCAATATGAGGCCCATGCAGGTTTTTATCGGAAGAAATGTACTATAATAGTACGACTCAATTTGACGTTTAGAACACTCATACTCGGGTTTCTTTTGCAGATACCACTCGAGGTTAACCCTTACGGCGTATAACCTTTTCCGTGCATACCCACCACAGGGAAAAGCGTGAAAACTCTGTGACTATCCGAGCGTGCTTTCATCGTCCCACAAGTACAATATCACCGCGAGAGAGAGAGTTGTGTGTGGGGTTTACTGGGTTCGAACCAGCTTTCTCCTGTCTCAAATGGGGCAGGTGTTCAAGCTTCCCTGATTCTACTCGGGAGAGTGGTCAGAATAGTGTACCACTGCACCATCTAACCCGATGCCGAGGTATACTTTAGCTAGCTGTGTCTCAAACTAACAGCCAATTGCACTACCTGTAGGTATGTGTGTGTGTTTTCGTTGTTTCTCAATCTTAGAGCGACGGCTAGTGTAGGTTTTCTTTGGGCAAAACCAATAAATTATATTTAGATTAACTGTATCAACTACCTCTGTCCAGGGGCTGCTCTCAAAAGGCACTTCTCACGAGAAAAGTTTTCCACATCAACTCTGACCACCTTTCTATATATGACTAATACATGACTAATCCAAGGCTCCATCCTGATTAGTTTCAGGTTTAAGTTTACCCCAAGCAGATCAGGGGTCTGTATACCGGAGTATTCCTACAGTTTTTATTGTACTACTTGAGTCTATGACTATCTAGCATATTGGGCTCTTCTGACCCAGGCCACACCTTGTACAGTGCTCCTATCCTCTTTTGTTACTTGAAAGACCACTGATATATTCCCCTTGATGAATAGCTATTCAGCTCAGTATTTACCCGTGGAATTCGGCCACCTTTTCCACGCAACCTTCTACCGAAAAATAATATAAAAAATTAAAATAACATGGTAGCAATGGAAACTGCGTGCGCGGGAAAAAGTCTCAAAAAACCTGCAGTCCCAGCCAAGCGAGGCCTAGACAGCGGGACCACATGAGGTGCGCATATTCATCTATATCTCCCTTCTTTGTAACAGTCAAGGCCGACTTGATCCAATCCGCCATCTACGTATCGGATGCTGAGTACGCTCCGGAAACTCATCGGATGGCTTTTCCTCTATGATGAAGGGTTGGCGATGAATTGGGCTCCGACCATATCATCTGATCTGATCGCGGTTA